ATATTAAATCAAAAAACGAATGATCGAATGATACACGGATTATTGAGCTTCCAATTATTCTACACAATTATGGATTGCTAAATGATGTAAATACAAACGGTTTAGAAACCCAACATCATAACGTGGATTGGTAAATTTGGTAGGCTACATTACATTACTTCTCCGATGGATCTAGTTTTGCATATTTAGTAACCTTGCACACAAACAGTCCACACATGATTGAAAGATGGTGTAAAGGCAGCGTGCTTTAGTGTCCCGTGCCCATTTCACAGCGTCCTGCCCTTTATCACTGTTTTATTTCCATCAGAACCAATTCAAAACGAAACACAGACACACGCCTCATTGAAATATCCCTGTCGTACTTACGGTTAGTTTCTGTAAAAACATCTGTAAACACGTGCATGTGCAGCGTTCATATCTGTTCCCAGAGCTGCTCAAGCCGAGAGCCCAGACCCCTCTCTGTGAAACACAGACCGATCTGCAATCAGTTTCGATACCCTGCCTGTCTCTGCATCTGTGCAGCTGCTTACGATCCAAACAGGGGCGTTTCTTTTCAAGGTTTCGGTCTCGATGGGCGTTTAGTGCCACCCATCGTTTCATATGGGGCACTGACATTTGCAAATGTGTTTAGGAGAGAGAAAAACTGACATAAAATTGGCGCCTGTTCATTTTAAAACACATTCAGGTGTCTCAATTATCAATTTCTATTTACCCACAGAATTTATGAGAAATATAACTGCATACATGCTAAAGTACACCTTAATGCAATTTTATATTTAGTCTTGTCAGGTGCACGTACACTAGTGTGTTTTTATAAACTAAATGGATGACTGAGCAGTCTTCACCAACTTCACAAAAGCAAACAATATATAATAATGTAATAATAAGCAGTGTGAACTCCTCAGACTATCTCCTTCAGTTATTATGAATTACACATCATCAACAACAACAGGAAAAAGCTGGTATACAGGAAAAGTGTTTGTGTTCTGTTTCAGTAATCCATCAGCATCATAGCCTATCAAAAGCTATTCAAAACTTTTTCAGAACTCTTTCCCCAAAATATAAATAAACTATGTGCTGACATGACAGCTGTGAGGACAAACATGAAATTGGAGAAGGAAGTAAACGCAACCCTTGAAACATAGAGTCATTACGGTGGGCTGCTGCAGTCTGTACTGTCTCTGACTTTATAATAGGGTCGTTTTTATCCTATTGTACCATCTGTGAACTCTGCATTTCATCTCAGCCGGGTAATAGGCCTATGTGTTGTGACAGCACAATGAGCTGATCAGTAGACTCACTGCAATATGTCTCAATGTTTTAGTAATCCTCTGTGAAAAGCAAACAGTTTTAATGTCTATTCTTCTTCTTTTTAAAAAAGAAAAAAGAAAATAATGTTTCTAATCTGATGATTACAATGGGTATTAATTAATAAATTACTACAATTTTTGTAAAAGCATTACTTAAATACAAACAGTGCATAATAACCTTTTATTAGCGCATACAAGGATCAAAGGCATTTACAATAAACTTACAAAAAATGACTTCTTTACAGTGTATTTATCAGCTTGAAGGTGCCTCTTGAATGAACTCAAAAAGGTGACTCTCAGAAAAAAAAA